GGGATTGCTGGGTCATAGGGAAGCTCTATGTGGAGGAATCTCCATACTGCTTTCCAAAGTGGTTGAACAATTTACACTCCCACCAACAATGCAGTAAGGTTCCCCTCTCTGGCCACATACTCTCCAGCATCTGTTGTTATTAGAGTTCTTGATTATAGCCATTCTAACTGGGTGAGGTGGTATCTCAATGTTGTATTGATTTGCATTTCTTTTATGGCTAGAGAGGTTGAGCATTTCTTCATATGTCTATTGGCCATTCTTATTTCCTCTTCAGAGAAGTTTCTCTTTAAGTCTTTAGTCCACTTGTTTATTAAATAGCCCACTTGTTTATGGGGCAGTTTCTTTGAGGATTTGTTGCTGGGGAGCAAAAGCATCTTTTATGTTTCACTTTCTAGAGATGGATCTATCAAAGACAGGAATATAGTTGTTTTTTTAAATAGCCTTTATATTGTGTTTAATAACTGGTCCATTTTGGAATTTTGTACTTTACTAGGGATAAAGCATTCAAATCTTGCACTGTTGCCAAGGATACCATGTCTATGGGCTCTAATCTGGGGTCAGGAAGAGGATTCCTAACCAGGGTGGGTTCCTGGAATAGCTCACCAAAGACCGTGGGGATAGTGCCAGTGTCTGTCTAGTATGAGCATGGGGTCAGCATCATGTGCAGGCTGATTACCCCTACTTCAAAAATCTGGAATCTCCACTGCTGTGACAGTCACAATGTTTTTTATCTTATAGAATACCAGATTTAAAATTTCTTAATGAGGGGCTGGGAAGGTGGCTCAGTGGTAGAGTGCTTGCCTTGCATGCCTGAGGCCCTGGGTTTGATTCCTCAGCACCACATAAGCAAAAAGAAAAAAGCCGGAAGTGGCACTGTGGCTCAAGTGGTAGAGCGCTAGCCTTGAGCTGAAGAGCTGAGGGACAATGCCCAGACCCAGAGTTCAGGCCCCACGACTGGACCCCCCCCCCCCAAAAAAAAAAAAGAATTTCTGAATGAGGCATGATTACTCGGTCAAGTCTATGTGGATGTTCCCAAATCTAATCAATTCTCCAATCTAAACTAATTCTTAGTCCTACTAAATTTTGGGTAAGGGAGACTCAGCCTATAGGAACTCCTTCCTGTTGACTGTCCATAGAGTGGGAAGCCCATGGTACATTGTGAGAGACAAAAGGCCTTTGCTATGGTTTGGATCTGGAGTCTCTCCAAAGCCCATGTGGTTGAAGGGCTTGGTCCCCAGCTTGGTATTACTGGAGGTGGTGGAAACCTAAACAGTAGCTGGGTGGAAGTCTTCTGGTTACCAAGGATGTGACCTTGAAGGAGATGTCGGGACCCCTGGGGGCGAGGCAGCTTGCTCTGTCTCAGGATGGGGTGCTCTGCCAAAACATGGACTGAAACCTCCAAAATGCTGACTTTTTTTTTTGTAAACTGATTATGATCTTCTTGGCTCACATTTCCTTCTTCAGTTTAGGTTTTTTCTTTTTAATTGAAAACTTTGGGAGACTATTACCTTCAGACCATTTAAAGGTCATTAATAGGTAGCAATCCAGGTGCACCTGAAAGAAATCTAAAATGTAGGAGGAGAGAGATATTTGAAAAAATGCTTTCGGAATATTACAAGTTGTTCTGTAAATCTATCATTTTGCTTGTGAAGACTGATGCTGCCATAATCTGGTTTTGAGGAGCAGTATCCTGAGACAGCCTGGTGGCTGTCTCCCGTGTGCCGGGCATCCAGAAGAGCAAATAACAGGATGGAGGCTCTGGCTTCTTCCTCTATAGGGAGACTGCTTATTAATTGCACATTTTCATCCTTATAGGCTGATTGCACATCGTGTAGCAGCATTACAAAAATAGCAAGGGAACATATTAAAAAAACACGCCTGTTGGGTGTTTGTAGGTCAAGCTTGTCTTCCTAGCTACTCAGGAGGCTGAGATTTGAGGCTCACAGTTTAAAGCCAATCGGAGGAGGAAAAGTCTGTGAGACTTCATTTCCAATTAACCAGAAAAAAGTCAGAAGTGGCAGTATAGCTCAAGTGGCAGAGTGCTAGCATTGAGGGAAAAAGCCAAGTAAAAGTGTGAGACCATAAGTTCAAGCCCCAGTACTGGTACACACAGGCAGGTGCACATGTGTGTGTATACACACAGACACACACACAATCTATTACAAGTTGGTATGAGGTAAGGAATATATGATAAATTATCAAGTATCACTAAGAATCATATGACATAATTATTTTTAATTAGGAATACCACACAGAAACATGCTTAGGATAGATTCAAAGGAGAAATGAAAAAGAAAATCACTCTATTATAATATGTATGTCACAAGTGCAGTGAAGGAGATCTGGAAGATGAGATTCCTGAAGAGAAATATAAAGCTTCTGTTAGGAGACCAGGGTTGTAGATTCTTGAAAATAATTCCTTTAATTTGATAAAATAACAGTAATAAATATTTATAGTGAATTCATTAAATAAATGATGCTGTGGAACCAAAGGGGTAACATTAACAAATTAGTAGATTGGATCTGACAAAAGAGAAAAAACATTTAAAAGAATGAATCTTCCCTTCTTCCACTTGCCAACTTAATAGATATTAAGATCCATAGTATTGAAAACCTTTTCCGAGGAGCTGGTTTGTAGGGTTTGGAAGAGAGTGTCAGCGTATGTCTGTGTTTTGTTTTGTGAGGATGTTTGTAATAGAAAATGATTCTTGAAATAATTGTCTAATATGGCCCAGCTTGGGTATCTTGGCTGAATTTACCTCTAAGAATGACAGAAACAGTTTAGGAAAAGAACTCATGTGCCTAGTAGTTAAGGATAGAGAACAAGAGAAACTGAATAGAGAAATTTTGGAAATAAAATGCTTACTTATAATCAAGTAGAAATAGGTATTTGGATTAATAGCAAAGTAGATGAAGCTAATGGGTATTTAAATTTCTATTTGTCTGGAAGTTCTTAAAGGCTACCAATCATCTTGTCTAAAATTGTTGATTGGAACAAACTACTCTTGTCTGTTCTAAAGGGCTGGGAGTGTTTTTCTTCTCTTTTTTCTCCCTCGTTCCAAAGAACATCAGTTTTACCCTGGATGATATTTGCAAAGGTTGGTTTAGAGCATTGAGGCACCTTCCTGATTATAGGATGGAGTGGCCTAATTGAAGATGTTAAGAAAATTTACATATGACACAATCACACATTTTCATTGGTTTTAGTAAACAAAGTTATATTCCCTCCCCCGCCCCAGCTTGACCATTGCAGACCATTCTTTTAGCACAGGAAAATATTCCCTCAAATGCATACTTAGATACCTTCAGCATCTGAATAGATGGAAGAAGAAACCTGAAATTGATTTCTTCTGAAATAGATCTTGGAAATGTGATAAATTACCTAGTGTCTCTAAGTCAGTAATTGACTCTTGATTTGGAAACCAGATGATGTGTGTGTGAGTGTGTGTGTGTGTGTGCGTATGTGTGTGTCATATAAAGGAGTTTGAGCTGGTTCTAAGAAATCAGAAAGCAACTTTCCCAAACCCCAAGCCATCCCTGACATGACAGACATCCTCGAGACCTAGGTAAGATTTGCTGAGTCTGGAGCACCTGTCTGGCTATTTCCTACTTCTAAAGGTGTTCCACTGGTAAACACATTAGAGAAAGCTTTTGTTCCTTTGTATTAGCCAATAATTTTCTCCTCTATCTAATTATTATTTATCAACTTCAAAATATGTTGACATTATTAAAAGGCATCATGATTTTAGGAAGTTCTTTCCCCATCTTAAATCCACAGTCAATTATATTTAGTGCAAAGTTTCTCCTCAAAAATGTTTTACATCTTCAGTTTCATTCCCAGAAATATATTGAGTTGAACAAATAATACTTGGTAATAAAATACATCTGCTTTCACACATCCACAAAATTCTTTTGAATAGTAGAAATGTAATTCATGTTGCATAATTTTGATCACAGATTGCATAATTTTGGCATGCACTTTGCTATAACTCACTTCCTGGCAACATATAGAGAGTGTTTGATGTAATATCATACAATGTTCAAGCTGGGAGTGAATGATAGAAACAATTTAGTATAAAGCAGTCCCTCCCTCAACCTCACAGAGTGGCAAACTGAAGTGTGACAATGTAAAATCTGTCCAATATCACATATTCCATTTTTTTGACAGCTATGCTCTACTAATACAGATTTCTTCCTTGTGACCTTAAACTTAATCTGAAAATTGTGATTTTTTTAAAGAGCATGATTCATAAGAAAGAACAATTGCTACAAAGTTGGACTTAAAATAATGGAAGAGATAAGCCTAAAAATTTGTCCTCAAGTCACTTTTTGGGATAAAGTGACTAAAACACTCCAATAACCTAACAAGTCATTATTCTTTGAGGGATACAAGATAATCCTGAAACCACCCCCCATGGAATATATCCTCATTCCTATATAAAATTCAATATAATTCTGCAACAGGGACTGGATAGTATTCTTGTGGATTGTTATTTTGTCTAGAGAAGGAGAAATAGGAATTATATTTTAGAATACACCACTGCGTTTTAGGATACCATTTTGATTTTTTTTAACCTCAGTTGCAAAAAAAAGAGAGACTTTTTATCATGTAAAGTTCATTGACCTAGTGAATTTAATAAGAAGCTTGACTTCAATTAATTCTAACAGATTAACTCTGGCTTTGCTTGCATTTACAGTCTCTGGCAATGTGGTACAAATTTGTCCATAATGATACCTCCAGAAACTTAGCCATTACGCAGATTTTTGCATATTGTTCAGGACTAATGTATTAACTTTGTAGTTTCCAGGTTTTAGAAAGGTTTTACCAGTATATATGTCCCAGAAATACTAAAGACACTTTTATATATATATATATATATATATATATATTTAAAATTCATTTTGTGTTGATGAAAACAAATTCTATTCTCTGAAAATATTACATAAAGTCACTATGCACCTGGTGAAATTATACATGAATAATAATGTTTAGTTTTTTAAGATACATATTCAGGAAATCAATTTAAACAGAGTTTAAGAAGTAGCACATCAATTTAAAATAAATTTTTCATGTAACTGATCACACTCATCTTCTCTGAGAACACCGCCACTAAACTAGATCATACAATTCAGCTGTTTTTAACTCCTCTTCCTCCAAAATCCATTCTATCTAACCAAGGTTTAATGATAGAATCATTATCCTGACTCTATTTTTTTCTCTTTTCACCAAATAAGTGTGGAAAGCTTTTCAACAGGCAAACATAATTTCATAACACAAAGCCCTAGATTTGTTTCTTTTGGTTTCTTCAGATACAAAGCACCTCAGGCTTCCTGTGGCTAGCCCAGGCCTCCTTTAACGCCTGGCATCTACAGCCCACTCTCAGTTTATCTTGCTCTCAACCAAACATTGGACTTTGTTCCCATTATCCAGAAGCAATTGGGACTTCTTCCAGTGTCCTTACTCCTCATCCAACTTCCCCTAAAATGGGTCCTCCTCATGCCTATGTACACGACTATCAGGCACCAGAGGTGTGCATGCTCACCACATACCAGGTCAACACCTGACAGGGTAGATTGTTGGAGCCGAGCAACTTCCTCCCATTGGGAGCTGAGCGTCCTGTTGCTACCAATACAGCCACCAGACCCTTGGATGCCAAGATCAGACTATAGTCTCATGATCCCACCTGCCTTGGCTCTGATTGATGTAGCAACAGTATCTGTCATACGGGCTGTTCTGCTTGTAGGAGCAAACGATCACACTGTCCTGGGGCACAAAGAAGATGCTATCCTCTGGCTCAGGGCAGTCCGATCTGTCCCAGGCGGAGCCTTTGACATCCAAGGCACTGTAGGCGAGGGAACTGCCCGAGGGACAGTAGCCGTCCAGGTATCTGGATGTCTCCTCGGGACGGCAGCTGGGGACCAGGCTGTGGCATTCCCTCTCCTCCGTGGGCGTGGGGGTGGGGCTGGGGGAGGTGATGGAGCTGGCCATGGGCACCTCACCCTGTCCCAGGGGCAGCGGCTTCCCTCTGAGGCCGGCCTTCTTAGCCAGCTCATCCGAGCTGCCCTTGCCCGACTCCAGGTCCGAAGGGGTCCTCAGCAGTTCCACGACCTCCTTGTCCTTGGGTTTCCGGAAGCAGGGCAATTTGCGGACCCACAGCAGCTCGTTTTCGGGCCACTTGGTGCAGCCCTCGGTTTTCCTGGCCAAGGCAATGGCCGCGATGCCTGGTAGGCAGATGGCTGGCCCGATGGCCAGGAGGGGGATGTTGCCCAGCGTCTCTCCCTTCATCCCAGAGACGGTGAACATGAAACCAAAGACCAGGAAGACGCTGACCAGGGCCACCACCAGCCCAGTCCTCGGATTAATGTCATCAGGCCGCATCTTTCACTCCATCCAGGTTGGGGGCTGTTGGCTGGACGGGGGAGCAGAGTTTGCCTTAGCTTCTGTCAGAGGCGAAACCACAGAGGGCCAATAAAGAGAGAGAACATTCACTCCAAGTTCCCACTCACCAACTTTCAGTCTCTGGCTCTTTGGGAACGTCCCCCAGTATCTGTCTGGCAATCTCGGTCTCTCTTGTAATCTCTGTCTCTCCCTGTCTCGCTGGCGATCTCCCTCTCCCTCTCGTGTCCTCTTCCCCTCTGCCACCCTTCCTTCCTATTGCATCCCCCCCCCCCCCATAGCAACACGCGCTCACACCATGCACTAAAACGCATGTTGGGGGTCACAGAGTTACCTGCCGCTTCCTGCTGCCTCCTGCGAGGAGGGACGGGAGAGTCTGAGTCTCTCCAGACGCCGCGCTTCTCAGCAGCTGCCCCCTCGGTTCTCTCGGTCCCTGGAGACAAGCCTGCTTTCCCCTCCCTCCACGGATACCACATCCAGGAAGGAGAACGAAAGGGAGCCTGGTTCCCAGTGGGTCTCCGCTCTGGCGGCAGCTCCTGGGCGCAGCCAGAGGAGGACGCAGCGCTCTGGGGAGCGGGGAGCGCGCGGCTAGGACTTGCCTAGCTTGTCCCGGCTGGGGAGGGGGTGGGGGGAAGCGCTTTAGCCCCGGCAGGGGAGAAAGCACGCGCGAGAGCTCCTTACATCACTGGCACAGGCAGGCTCGCGGGGGGCGCAGGGGGTAGGACCCCTCCCCCTCGAGAGGCCAAGGGGCTCCTCCAGTCTTGTTGGGGTTCCCCAGGACCGCCGGGGTTCGTTGTTCCTCTGCCCAGGTGGGGTGAGCGCTCGGGTGTGCCCTGGGGCGGGTGTAGGGCGCGTGGCGGCTAGTGGCTGGCGAGAGTTGGGAACCGTGCACCGGTTTCTTCAAGGGGGCAGCTGTTGGACTGCCCGCGTCTGGGTTGCAGGTTCGGGGTGTGATGGTTTAGGGAACAGCTGGAGGGAGATGTGCTAGGGAGCAGTAGGCGTCTCCAGCTACACATCGGAGTGATCTACAGCGGCGGCGTGGGAGGAGGAGAGTCGGGGTGTGTGTCTGGGTTCTGGAATCGCCCTTCCCTCCACCTAGCTTCTCCGGGGTCCCTCAAAGGACCCACAGCTTACAGACTGCACCCGGCGGGCGCTGTAGTGGCCTCACGGAGGAGTGGTCCTGGCCAGCGCTGCGCTGAATTAGTTTGGGGTGAAGGATAGGTTCCCGGGGCTGGGGTGAACACCTTTCGGGGGGGGGGGGTCTTCCAGCTCTGGACCTGCAGAGGATGGCTTTGAACTTCCAAACCATGTGGGCCTGGCTCCATGTAGGCCGGCTGGAGCATGGAAAGGCCCCTCCTCCACGCCCCCCTGCTGAGTATCCCCGCTGGTGAGAAGTGGGGGCTTGGCTGGAAGGATCGCACTGCCCACTCTGGCCCCAGGAGCAAGAGAGAATTTGGCTGAGATTCTTCAGCAGAGCCAACCATTGAGGGTGGAGGAGGACGGTGGGGATGGTATTCCACGCCCAGGCGCTGCCTTGGAGAAAGCAATTGTGTGTGTGTGTGTGTGTGTGTGTGTGTGTGTGTGTGTGTGTGCGCGCGCGCGCGCGCGCGCGCTTGAACTCAGGGCCTCAGGCAATTGCTTTTTTTTTCCCATTTGCTTTTTCTTTATGTTTTCTACTCAAGGTGGGTGCTGTAGCCCCCCAGCCATACCTCCACTTCTGGCTTTTTTTTTTTTTCCTCTCCTGCTTATTTGAAGTTAAGAATCTCATGGACTTTTCTTTCTGGGTTGGTTTTCTCAGCCTCCTGAGGCACAAGCCGTCAGTGTGCAGATGGTGGAAAGAATTTTGACACACAGATCTTCTCTGCATCAGCCAGCGGTGTGTTCCCAGGCAGGCAGCTCAACCCTTCTGAGAGTCAGCAGTCCTTCCTATCTGTAAAATGAGACTATTAATACCAATTTATATGAAGGAGCATGAAGATGAAAAGTGTGTCATCATCACTGGTGTGCTTTGTTATATGAGACAATGCCAAACCATAGAAGCCTGACCGTGGGACTAAGTCCTCTTTGTCCACTAGGCAGTGAAGAACAGTGGAACTACTTGAAGCAGAGATCAGTACAAAAGTATTCAGTTTTTGACAAATAGCAACAGCAGACGAGCAGATATGGCTGAAGCATAAAGACTCTTGAAGAGTGTGGTTAAGACATGAGGTGAGTATGAAGGAGGTCAGCTAGTAGACCTGTGAGCAGAAAGTGGATCTGAAGGATAAAGTGGTTTGGAGCATAGGGAAGGGAGATGGAGGGATGTGCTCAGAAGGATCAGGAATCAGGATTCTCCTCATTTTTTCACTCCTATTATCTATCCTATGTGTCTTCTCCCCATACTTACTAGACAGCTGCTCCACCTTTGGGTTTAGAACAGAAGAAAAACAAGGAGGAGGAGGAGGAGGAGGAGGAGGAGGAGGAGGAGGAGGAGGAGGAGGAGGAGGAGGAGGAGGAGGAGGAGGAGGAGGAGGAGGAGGAGGAGGAGGAGGAGGAGGAGGAGGAGGAGGAGGAGGAGGAGGAGGAGGAGGAGGAGGAGGAAGGGGAGGAGAGGGGGAGGAGAGGAGGAGGAGAAGGGGAGGAGGAGGAGGAGGAGGAGGAGGAGGAGGAGGAGGAGGAGGAGGAGGAGGAGGAGGAGGAGGAGGAGGAGGAGGAGGAGGAGGAGGAGGAGGAGAGGAGAGGGGGAGGAGAGGGAGGAGAGGGGGAGGAGAGGAGGAGGAAAGGGGGAGGAGAGGAGGAGGAGAGGGGGAGGAGAGGGGGAGGAGAGGGGGAGGAGAGGAGGAGGAGAGGAGGAGGACAGGAGGAGGAGAGGGGGAGGAGAAGGAAGAAGAGAGAAAAGGCAGAGGGCAAAAGTGAGAGGCCAGGTATTTGGCCATTTCTGTCAGAAATATAGTAGTTTTCCTAAGTAGCTATGCATTTGCTTATAATGGGCTGGAAGGTTGTGCTGTGGACCACAAAGAAGCCTGGGAAATGAAGTCCGTTTGTGACACAGATTCATGGTTGCTTTGAAAGAAAGTCAGGGTTTTGTTAAAAAAAAAAATAGAGCCGGACACCAGTGGCTCATGCCTGTAAACCTAGCTACTCAGGAGGCTGAAATCTGAGGATCATGGTTCAAAGCCAGCCTGGGCAGGAAAGTCCATGAGACTCTTATCTCCAATAAACCACTCAGAAAACTGGAAGTGGCGCGTGGCTCAAGTGGTAGAGTGCTTGCCTTGAGCTGAGGGACAGCGTTCAGGCCCAGAGTTCAAGCCCCATGACTGACAAAAAAAATAATAAATAGGAGAGCAAATATAGGAAAAATAACTGCTGTGTGTACTCCAATTGTTGGACACTCTTTCCTCTAGCCTGTCTCCTCTCCCTACCTCTACTGACACCTGTCCTGAGTGCTTCCCTATCCCCCTGCTTACTCATCTGAAGGCTACTTCCTAAACAAGTATTTTAAGTCTTGACAAATTCCTTAGATATTGGTGCTCAATCACTTTTGTTTTTGTTACTTCCCTGATTTCTCTTGTCTTCTTCCATGTTCTATAGTCATTCCAGACTGCCTGGATAGGCAGGTGCCTCTGGACTGTCTTTAGCTTGTCCTCTTTTCTCAGCTGTGGATCTGCTTAATACTGTAGTCTGTAGATAGTGCATAGACATTCGGCCTTCAGCCTGACACAAACCAAGCCCATCACGAGAAGGAGCAAGGCTGCTCTTTCTCATTTGGCCCTGTCATTTCTCCAGTTTGCTGGCTGAGAATATTTGAAATTGTCCTCTATTCTTCTAAAATTAATTAATTATTATCTTTAAGTAGTTTCACAAGGGAGCTGTCATTTAACCAAGCAGCTTATGAATATAATGTATCTTTTCTTTCTCTAGCAACCTACATTCAGTAAATCACTCAAGATATCATACTTTTATTTCTCGTCTCTTGATCATTTCCCCATCACCTTGTGAAGGCAAGTAGTAAGTCACTTTACCTTCCTGAGTGTCAACTTCTTATAAAGATTTTGGATCTGAAGCCAGCTGAGGTCCAGTTCAGCCCTAATATTCCTTGGTTCTAAGCTGCTCATTTCTGCAGGGTTGAGTGGACATGGGTGTGTGGCAGGTGCTCTGACCATGGTGCTGAAAACTCCATTGGGTGCTAGAGAAAACAGAGTTGTTGATACAAACATCTAATTCCCTGGCTTTGAAACCATACAGTTCAACTAGTTAGGCATTAATTAAGATCCATGCATAAAACCAAAGGAAACATTAATTACTGTTTAATTAGAAGCCTCATTTTCAAAACAATTCCTTCCAGAAGGTAATTTTAGATGATCTTTCAACAGCAGGTATATTTGCCCAAGCCAGCAACAATAGTGGGTAGAGCTGAGAGACATCATTCAGAGACAGGTAACTCTTGGTGTTTAATTTATTGCTCGTATGGGACAATTGCAGTAGGATTTTGGAACCTAAAGTCACTCTTCCAATGCTGTGAGCACCTACAGCTGTGTGCAAAAGCTTTCCATTGTCAGAGAAAGAAAATTCAGGTTGAAATGAAGCTTTGGCATGTGAACATTTCAGAAGACAAAAACCCTTTATTTTTGAAATTATAGAAATTTTGACATGCCACCATTTGTAGATACCTAGTAAAATGTCTACAACTCTTTATTGTACAAATAAAGTCCAGAAAGGTTTCATTCATAGTATGACAGTAAAATACTGGATAAGCTGGAAATGTCCAGCAACAGAGGGACAATTAGATGTTGTATACTGCCTCCACTGGACAGTCAGTGGAGAGAATAGCACATAGGCATACAATTAAAGGTTAAAATATTGATTGTACTTCTCCTGAAAAAATGTTCTCAGTAAAATATTAAGTGAAAAATCCTAAGAATAAAGAATTTTATACATGATTGGGCCTTGACTACTAGAGGAACTATAATAGAAAAAAGACAGAAAGGCATTCTCTCAAGAAA